CCATTGTATGTGCTTGCTGCCTTTGTCAAATATTAATTGAGCATAGTGGTTCGGGCCGATTTCTGGGTTCTCTATTCTATTCCATTGATCTATATGTCTGATCTTGTGCCAGTACCAGGCAGTTGAGAACAGTAGCTTTGTAATACAGCTTGATATCTGGCATTGAGATCCCACCTACTCTGTTCTTTCTCAGGATCGCTGCAGCTGTTCGGGGTCTTTTTTTATTCCAGATGAGTGTTTGGAGAGTTCGTTCTAGGTCTGTGAAATATACTGTTGGTATTTTAATTGGAAGTGCGTTGAATTTATAGATTGCTTTGGGTAGTTTGGACATTTTAATGATGTTGATATTGTAGTTGTGCCTTGATTGCTTTTGGCATCACTGGGAGGGATGACCTCCAGGTCAGTTGGCTGTGAAGACCAACTGTATCTACAGTGGAAGAGCTGCTGTGCAGGAGATACCCCTATGGAGCAGGACTTGCTTCAGTGGGGCTTTGGGTCTCACTGAGTCAGCCCCTTGAGTGTGTCGCTTGTGGATGTGTAGAGTTGTAATCTGGTATGTTCTGAAGCTGTCTACCGGGTACACTGACTCTGGGGCCACCCAACAGGAGCTACAAAGATCTCTGCAGATGGGTGCTACTTGTATTGGGCTAAAAAGTGCCCAGGCAAAGCCCAGCTGTGAAGCAAGGCAGACTGGTACTAGAGCCCAGTATTGATTAGGTTTGGGGCACACTAGGGCCAGTTGCTGCTTATTTAGGAAAGTCTGAAACCTGAGCCAGGACAGGCCATTCATATGGAAAAGTAGCTGCAAACAGCTTGAATGGGGCCGCAATTGGATGGGACAAGGTCTCAGGGAATCACCAGGGTGGAGGGAACAGTGTGGACCATGCTGATGAAAACAGTATGGCTGCCAGTTAGCTCTGTGACTGTGGAGATCTAAGCACAGGAACATTGACCCCTGTGAGCACCCCTGTCTGGGAGAAAACCATTCCTGGGTCCCTGCCCTGATGACAAACAGTCCAGTTATTCCCTGTTTATTCCTGGATTCCCCCAATACTGCTGCCCAGTGCTGGAGCTTAGAGGAACTTGGACCATGAAGTTTGTGCACGGGCCTTTCAAGAACACCTGGGACTCCAACAGCCTCCATGTCACTTAGCCACAATCATCGCTGGCTTTTACAATCCGAAGTTATGGGGACTTTTCTTCCCAGCTCTGGACCTGGGCTGGGGTCTGGTGTGGGATCAGGACCCCTGCTTTTCACAGGGGTCAATGTTCCTTAAAATGATGTGGTGTATTATAGGAAGCCTTGGAGATATCCCTCCCGAGTAAAGAAACACCATGGGTGGTTGTCGGACTAGCCCATTCTGTGCCTCTGCCCCTCCCACTAGTCTCAATGTGCTTTCTTCTTTACTTCTCCAGTTGTAGGACTTCCATTCAGCCAGATTTCAGGAGGTTCTGAATGATAGTTGTTCTATATTTTAGTTGTAATTTTGATGTGGTTGTGGGAGGCGGTGAGTATCAGTGTTTAACTGTGCTGCCATTTTTGTTCTATTTATGTATTATTGTTTTTTTCTCTGATTTCTTTATTGGCTTCTTTTTTATTTTTCATTAATACTGGGCATTATTCAAAGCTTTATTTTGGCCCTTCTCAGTTACTTTCAATAACTATTAGATACATGTTTATCTGCATGAATACTTATTAAACCTATCTGAACTTGATATTTTCCTTTTCTATTTCTGTCATGCATTTTTATATCTTTATTTAAATATGCCTTCATCTTTTAAAGAAGTCATAAATCACTTCTGCTTTCCTGGTCTTCCCAATCTCCTCTATTCGCTTTTTGCCAATATCACTGATCTTTGTGAATTTAAGAGTCTTTATTGGAAAATTATACTCAGTATTTTATTTCTTGCTGTTAACATCTTATCACCAAAGGATTACTGTTATTTTTTATAGTAGTTTTGCTTTATTAATATGTATGGTCATATATAAATGATTTCCGTACATAAATAAACATATTGATAATTATTAATGCCAAGATATAATCACTAGAATTTAAAATAAAGGAGGAATAGTTTGTTTCTCTTTTATCTCCTAGTGAATATTGCCATTTTTTCCCCAAGAGCTGAGATGTCATAAATTTTCCTTCTGAGGTGCCTCAAAGAAAATTAAAACAATTTTCTTAAATTATAATATCTTAAAGATGTTTTTAATACAAATGTCTTTGCCTCTGTGTTTTTCCTTTCAATTTTGTTTGTGAATGATACACTATCAGAAGTATTTAACCACATATTATTTAAAGTCTTTCATTATATCAACTCTTTGAATATTTTGTCTTTCTTAGTAAACATTTTATTTTAGCAAGGTATTTTTCCATAATTTTATTACAATATATCTTTATTGGTATTGAAGCTCAAAATTATTTCAACTAAGTTTTTCCCCACATTTTCATTGAAGAGAGATTTTTCTTCTCAGATTCTCCTGAGAATGATATTCCTATGGAGATCACCACAGCAGAACCACAAGTTTCTGAGGCAGTATATGATTGTGTTATTTGTGGGCAGAGTGGCCCCTCCTCTGAAGACCGACCTACAGGATTGGTTGTTCTGTTACAAGCATCCTCAGGTAAAATTAAAGTACTTTTTCAGTGGGAACATTGTAAAGATAAAGTGTATACAACAGATTAATAAATATCTGTATTGAATGGAAGTTATATATTTGTCTAGATCAGCGTGGGCAAACTACGGCCCGCAGGCCGGATCCGTCCCGTTTGAAATGAATAAAACTAAAAAAAAAAAAAAAGACTGTACCCTTTTATGTATGATGTTTACTTTGAATTTATATTAGTTCACACAAACACTCCATCCATGCTTTTGTTCCGGCCCTCGGGTCCAGTTTAAGAACCCATTGTGGCCCTCGAGTCAAAAAGTTTGCCCACCCCTGGTCTAGATAAAACTATAGGGCTACATAGCAACGGTTGATTTAGAATTGTATAGCAAAGATTCTTAATCTGGTTTTATCTGACCTTGCTGGACATAAATGTTGGAAGAACTTTTTAACAGAGAGATCTCTTTATAAGTTACAGTCTTTTTCCTTAAAATGATGTGGTGTATTACCAATGCTAGGTGGCCATTAGCTGAGTTTAGTGTTTTTGGCAATTTAATTATTCTAAAATCTGGAAGAATTTTAACACCAGAAATATTGTCAAATTAAATATTGATTTTTTTAAGAGAGGAAGGAAGGAGAAGAGAGAAAAAGAAAGAGAGTGAGGGACAGATACATTGATGTAAGAGATACATCAATTGGCTGCCTCCCATTTGCACCCCAACTGGGAATCAAATCCTTGACCTTCTCGTGCATGGGATGATGCTCCAACCAACTGAACCACACTGTCCAGGGCTGTCAGCTTAATTATTTCAATTGCATAAGGCATATTTAGGTAGCTTTGCCCTTATATCTTGAGTTACTAGAAGGTGCCATTCTTTTTTCTTTTTTCTTTTTTTTTTAAGAATTTTTTTAAAAATACATTTTATTGAGTTTTCACAGAGAGGAAAGGAGAGAGATAGAGAGTTAGAAACATCGATGAGAGAGAAACATCGACCAGCTGCCTCCTGCACACTCCCCACTGGGGATGTGCCCGCAACCAAGGTACATGCCCTTGACCGGAATCGAACCTGGGACCTTTCAGTCTGCAGGCCGACGCTCTATCCACTGAGCCAAACCTGTTTCGGCAGAAGGTGTCATTCTTGAAACAGTCAGCTGACAAGTATGTTTGCCAATCTATAGTTAAAAACAAATTTTGTTTTTTTTTTAAGGATTTGTCTGAATGCTCTCTATTCTCTCCCTTACTAAAGTATTTTGAGGTAGGGTTATGATTAGGGTTAGAAGATATAACATTTATAAGTGTATACACATCAAATAGCAGAGGCTCAAAATATATGAAGCAAATATAGAATTAGAGGGAGAAATCTCTCTATATAAAAGGCTAATATGCTGTTTCTCTCCCACCGTTCGACCAGTCACTATGACACGCACTGACCATCAGGGGGCAGACACTCAATGCAGGAGCTGCCGAGACACACACTGGTCATTTACAGAGAAACAGCAGCACGATCCTGGTGCTGACAAAGCAACACTCAGCTTCCCCCAAGTAGGACATAGGCCCTGCCACTATCCTGGAGCAATAGTCCACCAAATCACAGTCAATGCTGCTGGGACTCCATGGTGTAAAATGGAGCCCACAGTCCAGCCCAGCCCGGAAACGGTGGCTATGGATGCATCACGTAGCAATGCCCAACTTCCTCTCCCTAGCAACTTGCCTCCTTGCAGTTTCTTCAGCCCAGGAACATGACTTGCTTTATAGCCAGGTGCAAATATTTCACACTTTAACCAAATGTCTGTGAAGCGTTTTCCCATGCCTCATCTCATTTGATCCTTACAGAAGTCCTGGAGTAGGTAGATAGGAGACTCAGTGGAATCCTATTTTCTTTTCATTAGCCACCAAATGGAGATTTAGAAAGCTTAGAAACTTGACCTGAATGAAAAGAAGTAAGAAATTATGGATCTTGAAATGACTTTAGGTTTTCTCACTGCACAGAATATAGTCAAACACTGCTGCAGTTAAATATTTTACCCTTTGTTCTCCCTGCGTGATCTACAATAATAATCTGCTTCATGTTGATATTTACTGCTGTGTTGCTGACCATAACCTGAAAGAGAAGTTGGAGTGTTTCACTGGGCTGGAAAAGGTTTAGCTACATCAGAAAGCAGGTCTAATTAAGCAAGTTTATTCTATATATATAAAAAGCTAAGTTGACTCGTGCATGCACAATACATGTAAAGCTCTCACTGGCGCCAATCACATGTGCGTTTCGATCTGTCATTGTCGATTGTGAATTTGGTTGACACTTCTATTAAAAAGAAAGGGCGAATAGCGATATTAAAATATTTCTTCTAATTAATTTCCTTTCAATGTGCACAAATCCGTGCACCAGGCCACTAGTAGTTTTATAATGATAGTTGGAGACTTTAATCTCCCATTTTCAATAATTTATAGAACAGCTAGACAGAATATCAAAAAAAGAAAACACTTAAGCAACACTATAAAACAATTAAACCTAAAAAAAAAACCCTTGAATACTCTTTCTAACAATAGTAGAATACAGTTTTCTCAATTGTACATGGAACATTATCCTAGATAGTACATGGGTTAGCCATGAAACAGTCTCAATACATTTAAAAACACTGAAATCATCCAAAGTATCATCTCTGACCACATGGAATGAAATTAGAAATCAATAACAGTAGGAAAATTGGAAAATTCACAAAATATGTGTAAATAACACATTCTTAAACAACCAATGGGCCAAAGAAGAATAACAAGGTACTGTGAAACAAATGAAAGTGGAAACACAACATACCAAAACTTATGTGGGTGGTGAAAACAGTGCACAGAGGGAAATTTGTAGCTGCAAACGCTTCCCTCAAAAAAAGAAGATCTCAAATCAGTAATGTAACTTTACACTTTAGGAATAAGTTGACTGCAAAGCTAGCAGATAGGAAGAAATAAAGACTAGAGCAGAGATAAATGAAAATCTTAGGAAACCAATACAGAAGTGCATACATCATGGATAGCAATATTTTAGTTGTTAGCATTTACTTGCTTCTGTCTCTTCTTTTTGCCACTACTCTTCAAAACTTGGGGCCCACAGTGAGTGTTATGGCTAATTTACCTTCCCTAAGAATGGCTCTTCCCATGCTTATCAGTCTTATAATAATGTATGGCACTGTATGTTTTTATCCCTACTCCCCTTTTTTGTGCTTTTACAATTATAAAATCCTAGTATTTGTTTTTCTCCTTTTGTCATATACCTCTTCCCAAGTTTTCATTTTGAAAAGTTTTATATCTTCAGAAAAGTTGGATACCTTTAAGTACACTCACCAATATTGTCTTCTTCCCCCTCTCTTATTTATTCTTTTTCTCTCTCTCTCTTCAGAAGAAAATGGCAGACATCATGACATTTTATTCCTAAGTACTTCAGACAGTATCTCCTAAGAACAAGGATATTTTTACTATAACCACAGTATAATCATGTCCAAGAAATTTGTTATTAATAACATCTATTACTCTATGTTAAAATTCTCTCAAATATCCCAGTAATATTTTTTTTAAATATATTTTATTGATTTTTTACAGAAAGGAAGAAAGAGGGATAGAGAGTTAGAAACATCGATGAGAGAGAAACATCGATCAGCTGCCTCCTGCACATCTCCTACCGGGGATGTGCCTGCAACCCAGGTACATGCCCTTGACCGGAATCGAACCTGGGACCTTTCAGTAGTCCACAGGCCGACGCTCTATCCACTGAGCCAAACCGGTTTCGGCTATCCCAGTAATATTTTTAGAGCAAAGTATTTTTCTTGATCCAAGAGCCAAGATTATGCATTGCATTTCATCGTCATTTCCTGTTAGTCTCCTTTAATCTAGGATAGTTTCTCCAGACCTTTAAAAAGTTTTGATGAGTCTAAGTCAGTTCTGTAGAATGAGGCTCATAGTGATAGCTTGTCCTATTATTGGTGATGCCAGTGAAGTTTGATCACTTGGTTAAGGTTGTAGGTAATCTATATGATGAGCCTCTAGTAATTTACCCTTTTACTTGATTCCTCATCTGAATCAATGAATGTGTTATCTGTTTCCGTTATTATTCTTTTCAGTACTTAAATTTTCTCAAATTTGACCAGTCAGAAGTCCTTTAGGTCCTCATGACTGCCCCCTCAGTGTTTGAATTACCCCTCAATCTTTTTTTCTTTTAATCTTCACCTGAGGATATGTTTTCATTGATTTGAGAGAGAGAGAGAGAGAGAGAGAGAGAGAGAGAGAGAGAGACAGACATCGATGTGAGAGAGAAACATCGATGCGAGAGAGAAACATCATTTATTTACCTCACGTATGTGCCCCGATCAGGGATTGAACCCACAACTTACGTATGTGCCCTGACTGGGAATCTAACTTGCAATCTTTTGGTGTATGGAATGACACTCCAGCCAACTGAGCTGCTCAGCCAGGGCTACCCCTTGCTCTTTATTACACAAAATTCCAGATTTTTCTTGAACTTTTTCCCAACCTTGGACTCAGGTTTTTCTCAGAGGGTCTCTGTTTCCTTTTCATGAGAGATAGTGTATTTAGAAATAAAATTTATTTGTTACTGGAGTGTCATAATTTCTAGACTTTTTCAATGGACAGACTTTGGAAACCATCCTCCATCAATCCATTCATCTATTGATTCTTCGATCAATCCATTAGTCTATTCATCCATCCCAAGTAAACACCCATGTTTTACTGTTAATTCGAAAGTTAAATATTGGCATCTTTGGAGTTTTATTTACTCTCTACACTTGATCTTAGCCAAAAGGCCGAGAAGCGATTATTTATTTACTCTCTAGAAGAACACTAGAATATCACTTTTTTTTTAGGGTCTAATAAGTGCAAACATTAGTCAGCTGGTTGTAAATAACTTGGCTCTTATGGTGAATCAGGTCTATATACTGATTATTTAATGAGCTCTTATCTCTGTTGTTAATATAGTTTTGGGGCAGTGCCGTGACAACACTGAGCCAAAAAAGTTGCCTATCACTGAAGAGGAACAGATTTATCCTTGGGATACATGTGCAGCAGTTCATGATGTGAGGCTTTCATTATTACAGCGTTATTTTAAAGATGTGAGTATCCTTTTTATCTACTAGTATATTTGTCTGCAAAATTCATAGTAATTTCACTCCAGAGTTTTATGTATATTTTTCTAACAGATGTCATTCTGATTTAGAATGTGGAACTTTATTAGAAAAAATTAATATGTGAATAGTAAAGAAATGGAAATCTGTTAATAAGTAAGTATTTTAGGTTATAAATGTTATATCTTCGTTTTAAATGTTATTTATTGGGAGGTATACAAATTTAATACTATTAACTATAATACTGGTCTGGTCTGAGGAGTAGGTTTCTGGTGGATTCTGGAGAAGCAGATGGCTCTAGTTAGGGAGGTCTTGTCTAGTGTAGAACGAGTGTGTATCTACTACCATTTATAACTGAGTGATCTTAGAACCTTTGTATTCCTTATTTGTAAAAAGATACTACCAATTACTGTGGGAGGTTTTAATAAATATTGAGGTCATGAAAATTGGATGATAAGCACTTAGCACAGTGGTGGACACATTATTGAAGTCTTCCTAAAATATTAATCTCATATTAGTAAATGTTTTCCTGCTCTTTTTCCACACTATAGCAAATTCAAATAAGACATCTAACAGTTACATTAACAAATGACTTAGTATTTTCAGCTAACTGCTTTTATTAAAAAGGAAGATTAACCTTTTCAGTCCAACCTTGAGGCTGACTCGACAGACCAGGTGCTAGGAGCAGGTCCAACGTCGAGCAATAAGAACATTAAAAAGTTCAACATTCAATCCCATCAATTAATTTGGACCAGGCTGTTTGATTTCCAAAAATAACATTGGACTGCAAAGGGTTAATTACATTTTTATAATACATGGTCAAAGAAGCAGCTTGTTTATTAACTAACAACCATCCTATAAAAGGGTAATATGCAAATGGACTGAATGGCAGAATGACTGGAACACCTGCGGTCCCTCGCCCTGGCGGCCCCCGCCTCCCAGTGGGCATGCCCACCCCGATTGGGGGCAGGGCTAGCCGGCAAACCACCGGTGGCCCCTTGCCCTGGTTGGCAAACCACTAGTGGCCCCTTGCCCCGGTCGGGCATGCCACTTATCGGCCCCCCACCCCAGCCAGCCCACCCCCGATGGCCCCCATCAGGGTGAGCTGGCTAGACCCACCAGTGCATGAATTCGTGTACTGGGCCTCTAGTCCTATATAATAAAAGCCTAATATGCTAAGTGTCCAACTGTTCGACTGTTTGACCAGTTGCTATGATGCGCACTGACCACCAGTGTGCAGATTCTCTGAACAGTAGCTTAGTTTGCTGCTTGGGTCCTGCTGTCTGGGACTGGGCAAGATGGGCCGGACATGCCCGGGAGCCCTCTCACGGTCCCTCCCCAGCCGGCCAGCCCAATTGGCCCCGATTGGGTCTGGGTGAGACGGCCCCAAATGGCCCCGATCGGCCCTGATCAGGACTGGGTGAGATGGGCTGAACATGCCCTGGAACCCTCCTGCAGTCCCTCTCCAGTCCTGATCGTGCACTGGTGGGGTCCTTTGGCCTGGCCTGTACCCTCTCACAATCTGGGACCCCTCCGGGGATGTCGGAGAGCTGGTTTCAGCCTGATTCCTGAGGGCTGGCTGAGGGACCCCCACCAGTGTACGAATCCATGTACTGGGCCTCTAGTTCTAAAATGATCTAATACCAAAATTTGCTTCTACTTCAAGTGGCTGCAAATCATAAAACAGAGATGAGCAGATCTCCTGTTGTTTTTCTGATTTGTAACAGTAGAAGCCAGCTCACTTGCTGTGAGTAGTATTTGATTTGTGCTGCTGCACATATATTTAAATTGGCTACGAAGACATTTTGCACTGTAATTTTTAACTTTCAGATGCTCATGAAGAGTATTGATTTAATATTGGAACTTTGTTTTACTGTTGTTAAAGTTGATTTGGTCATCTTACATTATAATGTATAAATTTCTAATATAAAAAGAGTTTTTATGGCTCTCAAAGCTTTCGTCATATGCTGTCACTCATGTTAGATCTTATATTGCTCTGGCTTGGCCATCTATTTACTACAGTCTCTAGTGGGGTGAACTCAAGTTCATTGTCAAGTAAGTACTATTTGTCAGAGGAGAAATGAAAACTCAAAATTATTTTAGGAGGAAAAGTCTAAGCCTGTTTATAGGTTGAATGGAAGGAATTAGCAGAGAAGAAGTTGAAGATGTAAGAGAAAAAGGAGATAGAAGCAATTAACTTTAAAAACAAATTTCAAATGAGTATGTAGTTGGCTTATATAATCTGTTTGCCTTCTTTATTGTGCATTATATTAAACCCTTGTAAATGTTAAGGCACTTTTTTGGGGTTATTCTTATGACCAAATTTGTACTTTGGAGAGATATGTGGGGGATGCATCATGGAGAGAAGAAACTGGAGTCAAGAAGACCAATTACAAAACTTTATATAAGAAATCCTCCCCCCCTTACCCCCCAACAAATGTACAGACTTGAATGTTACATTCAGAATGAAGAAGTCAGGCCAAAGTCATGAGTTATTTAGAAGTCAGAATTCATATGATTTGGGAATTAAAACTGTGGTGTGAAGGAAAGGGTGTGAGGTAGAGTAACTTTAGCTTTCTGATTTGGTGACTAAATAGATTGTGGAGCTTTTAAACCCAGAGGAAAAGGAAGAGTAATAGAGAAAATGACAAGTTTTTGACACATTAATTTTATGTTATCTGAGGAATGTCAAACTGGAGATTTCTGGTTGGCAGCTAAGTATTTGTATCTGTCAGTCAGGCAAGAGATTTAGCTTGGAGGCTAGGTGAATTTACTGATTAAATCACTTAGGGAGAATAGTTGTAATGAGTAGAGAGTAAGCACTAAGAATAGAATCTTGAGGAATATAAACTTTGAAGGGGCAGGGCAAGAAAGAAGAGACTTAACGGAGCCTAAACCAAATGGTTAAAGGGTTGGAAGTAAAACCAAAAGGGAGTCTCATTATGGAAGCCAAAGGGAAGAAGACCCTTTAAGAGGGAAGTTGTTAATGGCAATCACAGATTAAGTACCATATAAAACAGTTAAGATCATCAATAGCAGTATAGTTTACACTGAACTACAGTATAATATTGAGAGCTTTTATGGGGTGGAGAAAGTCTAATTGATCATTATTTTTCATATGAGCATAGATATTTAGAAGCTAAGTCTTAATGGTGTTTCTAGTTTAAAGAGTTGCTTTTGGGCTGTCAAGTCTGGTATTGCTTTATCACAAAAATACAAAGTTAGTCTTCCTTCTCCTCTGGGTTTAAAAGCTTCGCATTCTATTTAGTTACAAAATCAGAAAGCTAAGTTCAAATAAAAAATCATTCAGAGGTTTCTGTGGATATATTTAAATGTCTATACTTCTTTAAAATTAATTGTATTTTGTCTTTCTTTTTTTAAGAGTTCTTGTCTCTTGGCAGTATCAATTGGCTGGGAAGGAGGTGTTTATGTACAAACCTGTGGACATACATTACATATAGATTGTCATAAGTCTTACATGGAATCATTACGGGTAAGTTAATTGAATAAATTTTAAAGGTGTATGTATCTTTCCCCATATTAAATATCTTTACAGCATATAAATCTCAATTCATCTGGGGTGATTTTGATCATCATGTGAACAATCTAAACTCACAGTTTCTTCATTTCTTCAACTTTAGGGATTTTTTTTTTAGCAGCTGACTTCCAAGGCTGTAATTTTATTTATTTTTTAAAAATGTTTTTATTAATTTTAGAAAGGAGGGGAGAGGGAGAAACACCAATGATGAGAATCATCAATTGGCTGCCTCCTGCACGCCCCCTACAACCTGGGCATGTGCCCTGACTGGGAATTGAATCATGACCTCCTGGTTCATAGGTTGACACTCAACCATTGAACCACACAGGCCAGGACATGGCTATAATTTTAGACTTTGCTACTCTAGTTCTGAAATATTAAGCTTTATTAATATTAAGCTTTATTATCCCACTATATCATTTGATTATTTTTCAAATTCTCTTATTTTCACTCTTACTAGTATGTTTTGCATCTGGCATCAAGATCTCTAGTCCTTTAACCCTTGTGCATTTTTCCTGGTGCATTAGCTCTTACCTAGCCTCACTTACTTATACTTTGCCCATTCTGCTCTTAATACCTGTTGTTTAATCTGCCTCCTTTGATCATACACCTAGGCAACTAGCCCTGCTAGAAAAGTAATAAAACTAAGTAAATTGGCATCTCCATAAATTTGTGGTTTTCTATAATAGTGCTTTAGACTAGAGCAGTGAATTTCAACTGGTATGCCATGAGAATTTTAGTCAGGGCACCTCTTTTCCCTTAGATTATCAAATAAAAAAGTGACAACAGCCAACACAACAATAGCTGTCTGGTATGAGTGAATCAAAATTATAACTATTTTTTTTTTTTGTCAGATTGGCAAAAACAACACAATATATTTTTTGGCGTGCCTCAGAATTTTAGTAATTAGTTTCTGTGTGCCATAAGATGAAAGGTTGATAAAGTCATGGACTGTAGATACCACTTATCACTTTATTTACCTGTCTTTAATCAGTTTTCTCTCCTGGTTTCCTCAGCAGCTATTCCAAACCTTTGCCTCCCCTATCCCACTTAAGTCCCAAGAACTCTTTTCCCTCATTAAACTGTCTCTTCCTCTCACCAAAAACAGTGGTTTCTGTCACATACTACTTTAGCTTCCTGCCTTGCTTTAATATTCCTTGATAAATGACTTTGCATCCCAACCAATCCTTTCTTTTCTACCCTTAGAGGTAGTATTTCTTCTTCTGTTCAGGAATAATATTCCTTTTTATGCTGTAGTATTCCTTTCTCCCCTTTATCACAGGGGCTTTGGTTTATCAGTAATTAACCTCTTTTTCTTCTGTAGCTTTAGTTTTTTTGCCTGGTCTGTCCCTTCTTTTCAGTTAATAAGTACACCAAAGTCTGCTATTTAAAATTTCTTTCCTTGACCTTGTATTTTCCTGTAGCTGTAGTCTTTTGTTTTTTTAAATATTTTTATTGATTTCAGAGAAGAAGGGAGAGGAAGAGAAAGAAACATCAATGATGAGAATCATTGATTGGCTGCCTCCTGCACGCCCCCTACTGGGGATTGAGCCTGAAACCTGGGCATGTGCCCTGACTGGGAATCGAACCGTGACCTCCTGATTCATAGGTCGATGCTCAATCACTGAGCCACGCCGGCTGGGCATGTCGCTGTAGTTTTTATCTTTCTCTCAGCTTAACTTCTTAAAAGCTAGATAGCTCTATTCTATTCCCATTATTATTGTAATCTAGCTGTTTCTGTTTGCTTTTAAATTGTATCTTAAGTGAAGATGTATCTTAACTCTTTATGCCATCATGTGACACATGATAGAATTTAATAAGTGTTTATAGAATTGTATTTAAAAATAAATGTCAAAACTTAAAAAAAAAATTAGTTCTGTTAGTCCAAGTATTTGAGATCCTAGGTGTAGTGAAATTAGCACTAAATTAAGAGTTGGGGCGGGGGGGAAAGTTGGGAAACCTAAGTTCATCCTGACATTGTCATTAACTACCTTATTAACTCTCTGTAATAATAAAAGCATAATATGCTAATTAGACCAGACATCCTTCTGGATGACCTTCCAGATGAAGCTGGGGTAGAGAAGGGAAGCCTGGGTCCCAAGTGCCTGCTGGCGGCCAGAGGGAAGCCCGGGTCCCGGGTGCCAGAGGGAAGCTGGTGCCGGCAGCTGGGGGAAGGAAGGCCTACTCTTGCACGAATTTCATGCATGAGGCCTCTAGTAGGCAAATAAATTTATTTTCTTTTCCTTAATCCTATTTTCTCATTACTTTTGTCTTATTAGTAATAATGGTCATTTTGTAGTATTCTTACATATACAGAATGTATTAAAAACATATTTTGAGGCAAAGCTAGTTAACAGAATAAGAGAGAGATTACTGGGGAAAGATATATAACAGTTAGGACAACACAAGAGCAATGGCCTACAAGAATAAAATAGATGTGGGATGGTCTCAGGCAAAAGAAAGGAACAAATTTATCAGCCTGAATTTCTGCCTTAAGTCCTCCGGTTAGTAAGCATGTATTGCAGTCTCTTGAGCAAGAGCTTCCTCCTAGGCATATGTGCATTATGTGTCTTTGCTTCAAAACTTCTACTTTTTCCTCCTCTATCAGAAACATCTGAAAGAAGGAGTTAATTCTCCTCCTGTCACACTTGCGTTCTGAATACTCTAAGTCTTTTTCCTATGCATGAAACCTAAACAGATCTACTGCGTAAAGTTCAGTCAGTTGTGTTCAGCAGTTAAGACACACGACACATCACATTTTTTTGGCTTAATTTATGTTCAAAAGCTATCTATCTTACCTACATGGGCACTTGGAGAATCTTCTCAGTAGTCACTTATAGATTATGAAAACGGGGTAAGGGGTAAGAAGAAGGTGATCCACTGTAATGTGGTCTGCTTTTTGAGTTATTCTTTATCTTAAATCCACATTTCAGAGTGATTTTGTCATTATTTAAATGTTTCAATACTGAGAGAAGAGTAGGGTACCTAAGGAATTTATTGGTGATGGCAACTATTGCATGATTGCCATGATGTGAGAGGTGATTTGATAAGCTTCAACAGTTAAATGAGAGATTTTGTTTATGTTTTTATGGCATATATTAGAGGTGTCTTATTTTGTACGTTTCATTTATTTACTATAAAATGTAGTGGTGTAAATTTTGTTTATATAAAGGTGTGCATCCAACATCTGTATGTTTATTTCATCTTTTAGAATGACCAGGTTCTTCAGGGGTTCTCCGTGGACAAAGGAGAATTCACCTGTCCTCTCTGCAGGCAGTTTGCGAACAGTGTTCTTCCTTGTTATCCTGGAAGCAATATGGAAAATAACCTTTGGCAGCGTCCTAGTAACAAAAGCTTACAAGATCTCATAAAGGAAGTGGAGGAGCTGCAGGGACGGCCGGGAGCTTTCCCAGTAAGCATCAGTGTAAGGCAGAAATATCCCGGTTAATTCAGCTCTGCTTGTTAGCTTTTATATTTCTTTTGTTTTTAAATTATTCTGGGCCTTTATACATTTAATACAAATTGTTTTTAGAAGTTTTTCTCTTATTTGTCGTTATTAAAAATAAAAATGAGAATAATAGAACAAATTATTAGCAAAGGCTATACTTTTCCTTAGTCTAAAAAATTGTTATAGTTTTAATATATGTCTTCCAGATCATGAAATCCTATAATAGTGGTTCTCAACCTTCCTAATGCCGCGACCCTTTAATACAGTTCCTCATGTTGTGGTGACCCCCAACCATAAAATTATTTTCGTTGCTACTTCATAACTGTAATTTTGCTACTGTTATGAATCGTAATGTAAATATCTGATATGCAGGATGTATTTTCATTGTTACAAACTGAACATAATTAAAGCATAGTGACTAATCACAAAAGCAATATGTAATTATATATGTGTTTTCCGATGCTCTTAGGCGACTCCTATGAAAGGGTCGTTCGACCCCCAAAAGGGTCACGGCCCACAGGTTGAGAACTGCTGTCCTATAAGCTTAGATATGGTTAAACTTTTTTAACCCTACCAGACCGCTGTACCGATTTTTCGGTAATTTCCACACGAAGGTGAAATATTGGCGCTAGATGAGAGGTAGATGAAAGGTAGACCTATTTTCTACAATGTCTCCAAGTTCCATCTTATTCTAACCACTTGTTTGCATGTAACTAACATTTTTCTATATCATGTTGGTTTTTTCTCTTTAATGCTCAGGAGCCCAGCTATAGGGGACAGTTAGGTTCAAGGCCTCAGGTCTGGTAGGATTAAGATATTGAAATATTTAAAAACAAAGCCACCCAAACCAGTAAATTATATCTATGTATCTTGCAATGTTAAGCACAGTTTAATCATTTAAAATTATGCCCATTAGGTATTTTAGGATTAAGATATATTTAGACACACACACACACACACACACACACACACTTTATATGAGTGTAATTATAGATTTACATACACATTTGTGTGTGTATATATATTCAAGAGATGAAATATTGTATACTTGATTGAACCATTCACCATAAGTCAGATCTATTTTACTGTGTGTTTTGTTCTAAGTGAACCCATCTTTTAGCCTATCCAGTAGGATTTATTTATTTGATTCAAACTCTTAAATATTTCACATTATTATAGGTTTGTGATATGGTTCTTTTTTAAAAAAGATAATCCTCAGCTGAGGATATGTTTTTATTGATTTTAGGATATGTGGGAGGGAGAGGGAGAAACATAGATCAGTTGCCTTCCATGTGTCCCCGCCAGGATCGAACCTGCATCCTAAGTATGTGCCTTCATTGGGAATTGAACCTGCAACCTTTTGGTGTATGGGATGATGCTCCAACCAACTGGGTCACATTGGCTTGGGCTATGACATAGTTCTTGAGAGAAGTGACAGCTATGGCTGGTTTTTGCAGTAAACTTATGAAAACTTTTGAAACAGAAATTCATAGTTTCAAAGCTACTCAGAATCATCTCCTAGCAGTTTCTTTTCTCAGTTGAAGACTAATTTTAGAGTCTTCGTGATTTTTTTTCTTTGGTACTTCTAAATTCGTGTGTGTTTATAGTATGCTTTAAGTAAGGGGCATCAATATTAGTCTTTGAAAATGAAAATCATGTTTTTTATAAACATGGGAACTGTTCTAAAATATTACTTTAATGACATCCACTCATTTATTTAGAATATAGCTTGTGTGGTTGGGTTACCGGTCACAATATAGATTAGGATAAAATATCCCTAAAATAAGGGAAAATATTTCTTGATCTGTTTTATCTTTGTGTACTACATACATTTATAATAGATAGTTAATGTACTTTTTAACTTTAATTTTCTAGTATGTTCATATGATAAACAATAGGGTTAGACTATTATTAGAGAAAATGAATATAAATAAACTATATTTTGTTTGTATTTTTTACAGTCTGAAACTAACTTAAGTAAGGAAATGGAATCTGTAATGAAAGATATAAAAAATACTACTCAGAAGAAATATAGAGACTATAGCAAGACCCCAGGCTCACCAGACAATGATTTTCTTTTTATGTATTCTGTTGCTAGGTAGGTATATGCAGTATATACTTTTATATTTACTTATTATTTTTAGTTGGTTTATTTCATTTTTCATTCATATTTATTTAAAGAAAGGATTTTTTTTAATGCTTGTTGAAATTATGGCTAATTTTAGAATCTCCTTGAAGGACTATAAAAGTATACTTTTCCTTCATTTTCTGAAGAGTTTATTTTAGTGAAATATTGAGTTAAGTGTTAACTAAGCATTGTATGATATGTGGGAAAAGTATATTGTTAACATTTTGAGACAGATGTCTACCTCAAAGCATGTGAATATTCTATGTGAAAGGTGGTGTTAAGAAATCACTATTCAAGTTGTCAAAAAGTGATAATAATGGGAATTAAAACATTGTAACATGTTGAACAGTATTTACTTAAAAAAAATAACAACAATAAGAGCTTACTTTGTTTTAAACTAGTGAAAGATCTAATAATATCCTAGAAGACAATAGTTGCTTTTGAAAAACAGGTGAGGGAAGAGGAAGCATGAGATCAGGCAGATCTTAAGCCTCGATTAGTGGCTAGCAGCAGTCTTAAGAAAAGAGAGGCAAATAATTCTCATCTTTCAAATTAGGTATGATTAGTCTAATAGACTGAGTAGATGTTCATTACCTAAGAAATAGTTCCAAATAGGAATTTTAGAAAACTTAATATAATGAAAACAGAGAACCATAAAAGAAGTAAATAGGGAAGAAACCGGGCAAATTAGAAACTTGTAAGCTCGTTCTGCCAGAACTGATTTGTAGACCCCTGGATATCTCGAGAAGCGTCATATTTTGTCCAAGTAGTGTTGTCATAGGCAACATTTAAAGAGAAAATGTGACTGGAAGTCATGCACCAAATTAGTGGCAGAGTAGGACTAGAACTCGCGTCTCTTGAGTCTTGGTCTAGTGTTCTTTCAGTTCCAATCCTCTTTCTTCTCCTGCGTTCAGCTTTTTTTAGGTCATATATACACACAGTTTATCATGGCCATTGTCTTTGCCCCATTCCTGGACCGGAGGATAACAAAAGGATAAATGAAGTATATGTAGTCTTTAGAACCCAGGAAAAATAGAACCAGATTCAGGAAAATTGCTGCAAGCAAGTTAGAGCTCAAGATAAGGAAACGTTAGTCTTTGGTTTAAGAATGCAAATGCTGGACACAATTTGTTGTAAAAGGATCTAATGGACTGGGAAGTAACTTTTAGCCTGCACACTCCTGACTGTTATTATTTATCCAGAATGCTTTGGGGGAAGCTATAATAGTTAATTTAACATTTGTCTCTGGAGAGTTACCAATTGCATACTTGCAGTAAAATATGCTTTATGTGAAAACTAAATTGAATATAATTTAATTTTCCACGGTTTCAAGGTTCTACAAAACTCATGTACTATATTGTGATAATAATGCTATAGAATATTGGAATGAATGTAGACCAACTCAATTATGATGTATGTTTGTGTGTGTGTGTGTCTGTGTGTGTGTGTGTGTGTGTGTGTGTGCGCGCGCGCACATAGGTAGTCCTGTGTTACTTAATGATAGGGATATGTTCTGAAAAATGTGCCAATAGTTGATTTTGTTGTTGTGCAAAGGTTATAGAATGTACTTAACAAACTTAGATGGCATAGCTTCCTACATACTGAGGCTCTGTGATATAGCCTATTGCTTCCAGGCTATAAGCCTGTACAGCATGTTACTGTACAAACAAACACAAGATTAAATCAATCACAGAAAAATAATGCAATAAACAGATGCGATGAACATGAGATTTATGAGGTGGCTACCAGTGTAACACATTTTACGAAGAGTACACTCTAAAATAATGTTAAAAATGTAGTATAGTAAATACATAAATCAGTAACATAGTCATTTATCATTGTCAAGTATTATATACTATCCATAATTGTATGTGTTATACTTTTATACGATTGGCAGCTCGGCAGGTTTGTTCACACTAGCATCACCACAAACATGTGAGTAATGTGTTGTGCTATGATGTTAGGATGACTGTGACATCACTAGGTGATAGGAATTTTTTTAGCTCCTTTATAACGTTATGGTATTACTCTGGTATATGTGTTCCGTCGTTGACCGAAATGTCATTATGCACACATACTTATTCTCTCTGCCTCTCTCTCTCTCTCTCTCTCTCTCTCTCTCTCTCTCTCACACACACACACACACACACACACACACACACACACACACATGTACATACAAACGTTGATTATTATGCCTTTGATTTGACTTATAAGAAAATCCTGTTTGAATGGGCATGATCTATATATGGAATTTTGCTATACTGTGATAAATCCAATAATTTGATTTACATTAGTTTAGTGGAAATTTTAGATTCCTATTTGTGGTTTAAATATATAAATAACTTACAGAATAAAGCTTGCTAATTCAGGAGACTTTTAAAATATACATATTTCAGTTTTTCTCTTTTATAGAGAAGCAGGAACAAATGCCAAATGTTACTTACTAATAAGGGTATATATGTGTAGAGAACATATGCTCTTCCCTCTTCCCATCCTTCTCTGATCTTTAATGATAAACTTTAAAGCAGCAAAATAAAGATTCTGAAAGAGAAACTATATAATCCTTAAAAACCTCATTTTCCTTTGGTTAAAATTACCTAGGTCAGTGGTTGGCAAACTGCGACCCCTTGAGTGTGGCTCTTCCACAAAATACACGTGTGGGCGCGCACATACAGTGAGATTGAACCTTCGTGGCCACACTCAAGGGGACAAAGAGCCGCATGTGACTCGCGAGCCGCAGTTTGTCGACCAAGGTCCTATTTGAATAGCATATAATTTTATAAGGTAGGAAACCAACCAGATTCTTCATAATTATCTTATGCCTAGCATATAATCTTATGTCATAAATACTTATGATTATAGATTATGATTTTTATGCCTAAAAAGTAGGCATTAACATATTAATATCTAAAATGCTTAGATATTTAAGTAAAATATTTAGAAGTAAACTTACTTTGAATTAACTTTTGAGTTAAACATTGTGATTCTTAAATGTATAGTTTATTAGAACTTACAAGTTTATTTATTTGACATTAGTAATTTTGAATGAACTACAACCTGTTTTCCA